CTGTTAAATGCCTCACCTTGCAATGTCCCTTAACATACCACTACAGTCCTTCCCCAAATCCTGTCCCAGGTTAAGGGCTGTGTTCCCACTAGCGTAGTCCCCATGGGGCAGCAGATCTATGGTCTCTGTAGACCTCACTGCAGTCTATCCTGCCTCCCTCTCCCTGCAGACCACTTGCTATCCAACCCCACAAGGACTGCCATTCCCTGCTCCTCTGGAATCTCTGTTCTACCCTTACGGACTGTTTTGCCAGAGCCCTTCTGCAAAGAGAGGGCAAGGAGCGGCATTGAGCTGGGATGCACGTGGACTGTGTGTGTACCTGTGTATGTGCAGATGTGCTTGAGTATGTGTGACTATGAGTGTGCAGGACACTCACACGTCTACAGCTGTGTTTGTGCTCACATGCAGAAAGGGACGTGTAACCTCACTTACTCAGCAAGGTAGAGGAGCAAAGACATGCTGTGCCCTTGAGGGCCCCGATGTGATGGCCGCCTTGCACCATCTCCACTCTCTCCCTGAAGTGTTGGGCTGCCAGATCTGGTGACACCACTATTCAACCTCATGGAAAGAGGAGAGCTGTTGAGATATGGCGTGTCCCTTGGTGATGTAACACAGTGGCTGTGGTAAAGATTGCAGGCTGTTCAAAGGATGTCATACCTTGTTCCTGATGTTCATGCTGCCTCTGCTCTGGAGCTGAGGCAAAAGCCATGTTCTTGTCACTGCAAGCCCTTCTTCATCAACTACCCACACAAGATCCAGACTCCTCCACCCTCCCTGACTCTTTCCTTGTAGTCCCCTCTCTCCCACCATACATAGCCTCCTAGCAATTAGTCCACTAGCTTCAGCCTTCGGGGGAAAACTGATATATAGGCTCACACACACAAGAACGTGATAATGTGGGACAGGTCACATTCATCTTCACCACAAGGTGTCAGCAGGATTGGAAATGATGTGGTGAGATGAGACTGCTGCATGCCCCTGTCACTGGCTCTTTGAGCAGAGCCCCTGCAGATGTGACAGCAGTGACGCTCCAAGAAGGGTCAAGTCTCAACCCCAGTTTGCCCAGGCTTCCTCCAGACCCCTAGACTGACCTCTATCAAGATGGAGACAGAAGTGAGCCAGGACAAAGTGCAGCAGAGAGGCCATAGTGCCTTTAAGAGCCGTCCTGTCCTCTGGATTTGTTCTCTGGACTTTCTGTGTGAAATGCATATTCAAATAAAGTTTTAAGAGGGAGGAAGTACCACAATGGGTCCCTCACTCTCAGGTAATGAGTTGCTTTACAGCCACCAAATGTAAGGGATGGGAGACAGGAGAAACTGCTTCTGTTGGACCCACAAATCTGACTGCACCATTCAAATCAGCTCCAATATAGAGGGGCTGTGTTTCTTTCTATAAAAATGACTGATCCCAGAGGGTAAGACAACTACCTCCCATCCCTCTGAGGCCCTTGTAATAGCCTTCTGTTCCCCCAGGTTTATGGAATAAGCTGGCAAACCTGTTGGCCCCTCTTGGTGAAAATCTCTTCGCAGGGGTGAAGTGTGGGGGCTCAAATGTCGTATCACAGAGGGAGTCAAAAGGCTGACAGTCTCACTCCAGAAAACCCTCTTTAGCTAGCAGAAAAGAGCTGCTTGATTTTCCCTTTGTGCCAAAGGCTGTGTGACACACAGCTGAGCAGTTTCAGGCCTAGCAAGAATGGACAATATCCCAAATGGGTGCTCCCACCCTGCCGCTGAACACCTCTCCTGTTCAGCTCGCTTGCAGATCTCGCCTTCCCACAGGCCTCCATTTGCTCATGAGCTCCTGTCACCAAGGGCACTCACCCCTTGGAAAAAGACAGGTTCAACTCATGCCCTTTGATTGGCTCTGAACTCATAATTCAGTCCAGCCTGTCTCCATTTGTACGCTGCCCTTCCCCTCCACCTCCCAGAGACTTTTCTCTACCCTTTGCTAGATATTGAAGCTGTATTGAATGAGACTGCTGGCTCTCCTCACAGCTGCTCCATCTCTGTCGCCGCAAACAATTTCTAGAAAGCCTTTTTAAAATGTATTAGCCTTCCAAAAAGGAGCTGATAAACAGGAGAAAGGGAAGAAGCGGGGAGGAGGCAGGATGCAGTGATGTGGTCAATTCCACACCTCTGCGGCATTCTCCTCCCAGCCCTTTTATGAAAATAGATGGACATCTATTACGAAAACGAGTTATTGGGTGGGCACAGGAGTCCTTAGGCAGGCAGGGAACAAGTGTCAGTCTTCTGTGTGTGTGTCTGTGTGAGCCACATACGCTGCCTATGATGAGAAAGAGGAACACACCTACCAGATAGCAATCTGTCAGATTTTGTACGTGAAGGGCTGTGTGCCAGTGTGTCCGTGTGTATGCGTTTGCATGCGACGCTGCAGTTGGCCTGAGCAAAGGGGGTATGTGATGGTGGCCAGCAAGACAGTCTCTTGTGGTGCCATTCCAGTTGCACAACTCGTTCCCGTCATAAATTTGCAAGGGCTCCGAGCACGGCTGTCAAAGCACATGGATATGAGAGGATGGTCAAGTTCTCTAGACCTGTCCTGAGACAACCTGGCCAATACCAAACACCTTGGTATTCAGCAGGCATGAAGTCAGGGATACCACCTGGAGAGTGCACATGTTGCATTGCTGGTGGGCAACAGCAGGTATCATTGTGTTCATGGCACTGAGGAGACGGCGGCAGGGTATAGCAAGGAGTTTGGAAGTGAATTTTCTGTGCTGGAGCCAAGGAAAGGCAATGGGAACTCAAACTTACTGTCTCTCTCCCTACCTTAGTCTCTAGAAGAGAATAAACTTGGTCCATCTCCTCCTGATTCTTGTGGTTGTTTTGATGAATGGAAATTACACAATTGCCTGTCTCTGTGCATTGGTTTACCTCTCACAACTTGTCCTTCCCACTCTGTCCCTCCTAGGAACAATTCTGCTCTTCAGCGAGTGGGTATCGGGGGGCAGAAGGTAGGGGAAAGAACATAGGCAACCTGAAGAAAATTGCAAGGATTTGGGATGAGGATGGACTGGGAAGAGCTTGGATAGACCCTGCTGTCACAGGAATGATCCAGGTAAACTCTAGGGAGGGCGTAGCCTGGATTCCCTCACCCAAGACCAAATTGGGGCAGATGAGAGACGCCAGACTACATTTTGATGGCTTTTGTCACACAGAGCATGAGCCTGAGAGGCACTAGAACCGGCATTTCTCACCTGAATCCTAGACTCTGGGGCATTTTTCACCAACCAAGTGCATGTTTGTATTTCTCTTTACATATATTGGAGATGTTGCTGAGATAAGGGGCCTTATTCTGACTTCTCCTCCCAGCTCTGGGCACAACCCTGCCTCCCTGCGTTGAACCCAAAGCAAGAGTGAATGTGTGTGTGAGCACACGGGCTCTAGAGCAGTGGGCAGCAAACTCACTCCGCATCACGTCAGTGACAAAGAGATTCAAGGCAGGAGACGTTTGCAGGCACGAGCAGAAGAAAATCTTCACATTCCTTCTCCGGGGTGAGCGCATGCTTCAACTCCCAGATACACTCCCTGCCTCTTGAAATTAATTCAACATTCCTGTGTCTTGGGCAAAAATAACTGGAATGAATAATCGGGCTGTGCTGGCCCTGCTGCAGATTGCCTGGTATTTAGGGACCTCTGCAGGAAGCAGAAGGGCAGGAGACTGAGACAGCACCAGTATTTACTGGAAGAGATCCGAAAGGTAACAGAGGAAATAACAATAGCTTATCAAGTCCTTTAACCCTGTAGACGCGATTGTCTCCGGCGAGTCTCTGCGGTTTGCTCCTGTTCCCAGCTCGCAGCGACACAGCTCCCTGCGCTTTCCCTCCTGTCCCATTAACTAACTCTCCCTCCCATGCTGCCCCACAGCTGCCCGCTTGTGCCAGGCGCTCAGCCCGCCTGGGTTTCGGGTGCAGTGCCGAGCTGCCATGGTGCTCAGGCTGCTTTGCTAGGTGCAGGAACATGGCGCTCTTATCTCACATCCTCTATCACTACCCTTTATCACTAAAATGATCATGTTCCCCTGAGTTTTGGGCTCATTTCAAGTACAAGAGACAAAAACCCCAGGCTCCAGGTGAAACCTGTGTGCAAAGATGGGGATGCCTCTGTGTGTGTGTGCTTGCGTGTGTGGTGCAGATGCACCACCAATTTTTCATGCTTTCTGGCTGCAGGCCTTTCAGATGCAAAGCCCAGGCCTCTCGGGTGGTACAAGGAAGCAGCAACCTTTTCTGGGAAGCCATCAGCTGGGAGGAGAGCTAGTGCTTGGGTTTCTTCCCTAGGGAGACCTGTGGTGGTGTCTGAGTCTCAAAACAGAAAGAACAAAAGACCCAGAGATGCTTTCCTGGTCCCACAGCCTCTGTACACTCAGTTACCCCTTGTCTCCCCAACCAACTTCTTTAACTTTCTAAAATCTATGACTCGGCTACAGAGCAGGGACATCGCAGGATTACAGCCCTCATGGCTATAAGAAGAGGTAGAGAGGGCTCTCTTCTGAGCAGAGGGCTTCTCATCTTCTCTAGTTGCAAAGTAAGGTCTTAAATATCAGTTGCCCTTTCTCCACAACTACTACACATCTGTTTGTGGAAGACAAACTGCTGAGGCTTTTCTGATCTGCAACTGACTGAACCGTGCTTGTCTGCTCCGAGAGCATCTATACAGTTCCTCACACAAAAATACTCAGGCCTGGTTTGATGGCAGGAGGAGCTGGAGACATTCTTGAGACATTCTTGTCTCCCCTCTGATCCTGCCCTACATGCCTGGGGCTATATGGGAGAATCCAAAGGCCAGTTGCTGTTGAGGTTTATGTTTGGACATGGGAATTGCCATGCTCTCAATTCTGACAGTCCTCAGTGGATTGCACCCTGTGCCTCTGCCTTCAGTTTGGAAAGGGAAGAAGCAAATCTGTCAAGTTGTCCTGTCAGTCATCTTCCTGCCAAGTGGGAGGCAGAGGGAACCAATGCTTTCAAATTTCTTCTCGGGAGGGACCCAGCATTGGAGGGAAGCTGCCCAACGACTGCATCTTCCTGCTGTCAGTGACCATGTCAGGGCTCAGTTTTTGCTGGCAATCTTTTTCTTACGGGCAGAGACCAGATCATAGAAAGGATCCTGTGTGATGCTGGTCCTGGAAATAAGAGGAAATGGGAGCAAAAGTAAGAGATTCATTGCTGGAGAACAGCACAGACAACCTAACTGAATTGGCACAGACAGACCATTCACCAAAATTTAGAGAATTTAGCTGTGGCTAGAGATTCTCCAGAAGAGACATTGAAACTCTTTGAAGTCAAGAGGTACCACAGTTACTAGACTGCAGACATTTCTTTCCACCCCCTTTTTCAAGCTCTAGTAGCCAAACAAACTGTGTGACCATTTGTGACTGGGGCTGAATGAAGGCAAGCTCAGGCCTCCAGTTCTGGTCTCCTCACCGTATTGCCTCAATCCACGCATCACGTTCTGCTGGTGTGGCTGCTGAGATCTTGTAGGACTGATGCTTGCCTTCAACCACTTTCCCATCCCCATCTGTTTTGCAGGCTTTGATCTTCTGCCCTTTGCAGTTGGGATTGAAGAGCTCAAAGCAGTTCTGTCAGAAAGGGAATACAATGGAGCAGTAGACAAGGACAGAGTAGACCAAGGAAACTATGCTGCCTTCAGCCATGAGTGACAGGCTCAGAGCTTCCAAAGGGTAAGAGAGCAGTCTGTCTCTGAAACACAACAGAGCCTTTCCTTCCCTACCTCAAGAATCCCCCTACGAGTTAGATCTCCAGACCACTCCTCTTAGGTAAACATACCCCTCCTATGAAGGGCTGGATACTAAAACGGGCTTTATGGAGAGATGGAGCATCAACGGTTATCAGAAAACACCGTCTCGGATCTGTCACTCTGCTCCACTCATGAAAATCTCTTCCTATTTCAAGCAGATGCAACATCCTCTCTTCTGCCTGCCACCACACAGACAGAAAACACTTCTCCCAGGGCCATGCCACATCAAAGAACGGGTAACCATAGAAAATGGTTTCCTAACACCACAGCACTGCCTGATCTACATATGCTAAAACTCGTTATGGAGAGTCCTGGGGAGGCAAACTGAACCCACATCTCCTGGTGCAAAAGGAGTAGCGAGTCAGCTATGTGCACTCATCTCTTTCCCCCTACACATACACACACACACACATACACTGCAGTCAGCTGAAGGATAGGTCTCCATTCACACCAGATCTTCCCTGGTAAAATACAGTCATGTTTAAATACCATCATGTTTAGATGGGGGGACAAGGCAGTTTGGAATGGCACCTTCCCTCTGAGAAGCATGGTGAGAACTGGGTACGCAGACCACCTGAGAGCCTGTGTTGGCAGAGTACCAAGCAACAGAGACTTACTGTTTTTTTGGGATCATCCACCTTCCGGACAGATAGGTTCTCCAGGGGGATAATGCCCAGAGGCTCTTTGTCCTGAAGGCAAGAAAACATGAATTAACACCTGACATGCTCCCCACATCTATGCCACTATTTACAGCCTTTCTGATTTCCCAAATGTGTGCTTTTGTGGGGATGACAAGGGCAGCGCGTGCCCGGGGAGACTGTCTCCATTTACACAATGGGAAGCTTATTCAAGACGAGATCACAGCAATAGCTGCAGCGTCCAGCCTCTCTCCTCCTCCAGATCAGAGGTGAGGAAATGGCACAGGAGAGGAGGGAGGTCTGAGCTCAGTCTGGGAGCACAGGGCTGAAGGGAAGAGTTGCCCCCTACCCTCTGCTCCTCCCTGGCCCCTCAGAGGCTCACAGCCACCCAGGACACAGCTTCCCAACAGGTACTTAAGCCGTTACCGTGGTATATTCAAAGTAGTACAGGCAGTTATCAGTCAGGATGAACCAGCGACGTTTCCAGGTTTTCACACGTCCTCCTAAACAAAGGCAAGGAGGTTCAAAAGCCATTAGTCAGACACTCTGACGTCCTTCCCGATCCAGCCCAAGCTCCGGACACACACACGCACACCCTCCCAGCTCTGCCTACAGCCAGCCCCGAGGAGGCCACCCGTTTTGCTCTGAGGGGGCTGGGAATGGGGAGGGAGGGGTGAGGGATGCGGTTTTGGGTCCCTGTTTGAGCAGTGAGAGGCTGGGAGGAGAGAGCAGGCGGCTGGTTTCAACAGCAGGTGTCAGCCTCGTCCCACCGCAGCAGCCGGGAGAGACCGACGGTGGGAATGATGGGGGGGGGCGGGGGGGGGGTTCGG